CGAAGTTGTTGTTGTTGTGCTTGTTGTAGTTGTTGAAGTTGTTGTTGATGTTGTTGTTGATGTTGTTGATGTTGTTGAAGTTGTTGTTGTTGATGTTGTTGAAGTTGTTGTTGTTGTGTTTGTTGTAGTTCCTGTAGTTGTACTTGTAGTTGTTGTTACTGTAGTAGTTGTTGTTGTCGTCGTGTTTTCTGTGGTTGTTGTTTCTGTGGCTGTTGTAGGTATTGATGACGTCGGCGGTTCTATATAAAGTAAGAAGATTCGATGAGATTTTTTTGTAATTCATATCTGATCTAGAACTGCTGCTTTTCTTATATAAAATTTCAGATTCTTACATCTACTTTGCAATCTCATTTGGATCGAAAACTATTCAAAACAATTTTTGGGTTCAATATAAAAGCGCCTACGCTACTAAAGAATTAATAAGAGAATCAATCTGCTCACCGATAACAACACCATTGGAACTATTATCAGTGTTATTATTCCCGTTGGGATATGACTGAACGTGGCAAAGCTCTAAAGATAATATACTGCCATCGTCCGTTGGCATATTGATATTCTTCACAGCATTCAATTGTTCATGAATACGGGTAAATGAATCGATTTGACAGGACACATTTTGGCATGGTAAACTTGATGGATAATTCAAGTTGATACCAAAGACGATAGCAGGACCTGATCGATCAGTTTTATCACATTGAATGCTATATGTAAAATTGTAAGTGAATACGACTATCAGAAATTAATTAAAAAAAAATTACTCGCGGCGACGTCGACCTTTGCCACCGATCGCCAGGGCGCTGCTGATGGCGTTGACGATGATGGAGCCTATAGCAGCACCGATTGCTTCTTGCAGCTAAAATATATTAGATAATATCAATTAATATCAAACATAAAAATTACGCAAGAGGCAGTTGTCTGACGATTGGTGACCGATTGTGTGGCGCGCTTTGTCACTAATCCAGATGGCAACAGATAAGCGGTATCCATCGAAATCAGTGAGTTTCCTAGAAAAGACTATGCATATGTATGATAAAAACAATAAACAAACACTAACTAGTGGCCAGTAACGCCGCGGTGTTGTCGTTGTTCTTCGTGGTGTTGATGCTAAAATCACTTCTCGATATATATAGTGGAATGAGTGAAAGAATAATAGTGCACGCGACAGCAAATAGTGCCAATGCAAAAAGACCAAGTATAGAAAATCTATATAATTAATAGAAGCTGATAAAATTCATCAGATACAGTGAAAACTCACGTTCGACGCTGTGTTAAGTTTATATGAGCCATAGCTTGGAGCCAATTGAAAGAGTGTTGTTTTGAAATAAAGACAAATCTGAAATAAATTTCTATATGAAAACTGATTGATGAAGAGAAGTCAACTCGATAGTTTCTGATAGTAAACAAAACCTTAACTTATAACTGTTAATATGAATGATATTGTTTGTATGGTATAAAACTAAATACAAATAGTATAAAAGTATTTACCTAGAAAAAATATTCAAACACGCTAAAAATCGAAGATGAATAATGGAATATATGTGTTAGGAATATAAATAAAAAAAAATAACTAAACGAATATGTAAAGAGCATAAGCTTTTATATGTTTTTTTATATACAATTTATTCATGCAGAAAATGTCCTTTGTAATATGGTGATTGTATGATTTACGTCATGAAAAAAAACAAGCAAGCAACAAAATAGAAGCGATAGTGCATATTTTTTATTTTTCTCTTGTGTATGTAATGTATATTGCTTATATTCTGTATAGATAGGTAATCGAAATATGAGTAATCGATTTGTTTTGTTAAATTAACGAAATAGACGACGATGATTGCATTTGGAGGATGATTGTATATGGGCGGTGCCTGGAATTGAACGATGTTTGTTTACTACCTTTTGAGCAAATATCGTATGTTACGATTGTAAAAGTCCTCAATATGATTATTTTCTGATAGATAAAAACGAACATTTTGTAACTATTTTGATATAAATAGAAAGCAACATTTGTCTCATATAAGACTTTAACGACTTATAATGTCCAGTTTTAAAAATTATTTTAGATAAGACATCAATTGATTTGATCAAGTTTTTATTTTGGTTTAGTACTATGTCAGATGAGCTGTTTGTTAAATGTGAAAATTTAAAAAATATCTGAGTGACATATTGCTTTTGTGAAATAGTCGGAATCGATCGTTTCTTTAACATACTTTTCGACTTAGGCATGCACTCAAAGTAGTATTATAATTGTCTGAAATCATAAATTTTCAATGAATTATAACTCATTGGGTATCTTTAATATTAAGGGAAGATTGAGAATCAATCATGCATAACATTCAAGCAAATAAACAAAATGACTAATACTAATACTTCAACTTAATAATTATAAATTTTCACTCAATTCAGTACATTTTCAGAAAAAAATCATACAATGATGTTACGATCGAAATCATCTTGAATAAAAAACAAAAGTTCATTGTTAGTGTAAAAACATTTAACTTTTTCAGTATTTTATCGGTGTAGAAATGGATGA